GGATAGAAGTCTATCTAATAATCAGATAGAACTGTTAAACAACGGAATTAAAATGTATACAAAAAGTATTATAACGATTGCTTTTATATTATTAGTAATAGAAGGCAAACATTATAATACTTTCTCGTTTGCTGTTAGCATTCAGCAAATACGCATTTATATCATTTAAACAAATCTTTCAATGACTAATGAACATTTAATTTCACAAACCTTGCAGACTTAGTCGAATCTAGTTGAAGTGTGTATGTGTATCCTGCATGATCGCGTGTTCTCTGCGTGACAGTCGGTCCGTGTGAATTGAATGCTTTAAACATTAAATTCGTGATTTCAGATTATGCTACGCTTTATGCGTTTGCCCACTGTCATATTCATGTAATTTTCACTGTGTGCTGAATGTAAAATGAGTGTTACTTTGGCTTTATTTGAAAAAATATGATTCCCAATGCACACAAACAAGCAATTTAAACTTTCCTTCTGCTTTTAAAGGACAACCCATATTTTCTATTTTGCACATACTGTACAGCACAGACTACACAGACACATTTACTATATTTGTTTTCCTAGCCCTGAGCTTACACACTTGTTTAGAGGACAGCATTGGACAGGATATGGAATAACCAATAAAACAATAAATATAAATCTGTCTTTCTAACCAATTAGTCATTTAATCTAAGTTGCAGCCCTACATTAATGTCCTGTTGAACTGTTGTGGGAAAAAAAGCAAGCTCACACTCATAATCCAGTGCTGAACAAAGCAGTCAGGCTAAGATTCAGAACAACTGATTGTGTGTCACCTTCCTCTGCACTCGAGAGCTGGGAGGCGTGGCCTCAGAAGCCTGTCTCACTGCACACATCATGATGTCAATCAGAGCGCTCTCCAGCTTGTCCTCCACACCTACAACACACACACACACACACCTGCGTTTGCATAAAGCACTCAGAAAATCACAAGACTGATCGGACACACTCACCACTTTCCTGCAGCAGTAGTGATGTCATCAGTTCCCAGTCTTTTAGCTCCACCCCCGCAACATCCCACAGACTGTCGACTAGATACGCAGCGTGTTCATGATACTGACACACACACACACACACACACACACACCACAGCTCCAGTCACAGGCCATTCATCTTGCTAAAACATCACTGCACAAAGCACATGCACACCTGGGACATCAGGATTTATAAAGGCAAAAGCTAACATGAAACAGTTCTTATGCACACGCCAACAGAAGAGCATGGATTAACTTCTCGTGCTCATACACCAGTAATTAAAATAAATGTTTATTTAAATGTAAAGTCAGTTAAAAAACATTGCAAAAAAACTTCATCCATTCTTTAGTCAAACAAAATGTGTTTACGCTCACTGCAACAGCACAATGATCATGTGATCTGTGAGAAGGGCAGTGCATGATGGGATGTGAGTGGTTTACCTCGCTCTCAATAAAGAAATGCGCCAGCAAACGGAGGACAGAAACACTGCATTTGTCTGACCGCCCGTCTAACACACTGCACAGCCTACACACACACACACAGAACACGTGACGCTCGTGATGGTTTGTGTGGAAGTGACGATGATGATGTCATGATGAAGCTGAACATACGTGTGGTACAGGAATCGTCCGGCTGCGCAGGCGAGACCTCGGTGTGTGGCAAAAACCAGCGGATACACAGCAGCACACTCCTCCTCACTCAGGCCTTCCTCTGTCTGCCTGCGCACACACACACACAGACACAGACACACACAGACACAGACACACACACACACACACAGACCGAGACACATACACACACACACACAGACACACACACATCAATACAAGAAACTCGGGTGACGCATAACTTCACGTTCACATGCACACGAGGGGTTTTCACCCTCAAAGCAGTTCGACATCATTTTGTCTTTAAGTGCCCCTATTATGCCTTTTCGAATATTACCTTTCATGCAGTGTGTCATGTAGCTGTATGTGAACATAAACTATCTGCAAAGTTGTGAAGCCGACAGTGCACGATAAATAAAGTTATTGTCTATCAAAAAAAGAGTCGGCTGGCAATCGCCTAAACGAGTCGTCAGGAATTAGAATCTTAATTCTGTTACGGCTGTACGTCATGAAGTAACACATTTGCATAATGTCCGCCCACGTTCTACGTCGCCATCTTGCCCACAAACACAGTATAATTTCCATGTGGTTAACATCATGTCGAGAAGACGCTGTATCCTACGCTGTGAGAGTAACTATGTTTTATCACATCTTATAATTTCCACAAACTTGTTAACACTTGACACTTACCACTGAGAACCACCCTGCTCAAGTCGTGCTTGTGAAGCAGTTGTGGTTAACATCATGTCGAGAAGACGCTGTATCCTACGCTGTGAGAGTAACTATGTTTTATCACATCTTATAATTTCCACAAACTTGTTAACACTTGACACTTACCACTGAGAAACACCCTGCTCCAGTCGTGCTTGTGAAGCAGTCTCTTCAACCTTTCATCATCAGACTCCGGCTCGAATTGGTAAGGTACAATCGATACCATCTTTTCTATGTATTGACAAGTCTCCAGGGCTAGGGTTGGGAATCGAAATTGTTTATTATCAAACATGTCCGAAATTCCTATGTGCTTTTTTTTCCTTCATCTGTGAGGATCGGAGCTAGCGATCTGCCAGGACCTTGCTCGCTAATCTAAGCGCTCCAAAGTTTGGCTACATTTGCGATTAGAAGCCAAAAAAGCTAAGTATAATATCTGTGATAGCTAAACATGTTGCAAGAGAGCTGTCACCACCAACATGACAAAGCACTTTAATTTAATAGATCGTTAAAGATCGCGAACACTATTCAAACACCAACGTGATTCTATTCCTAGATTACAATGATTCGTCTGATTCATTCCTCAAGCTTTTTATGTAGCCTGTTGATTTTTGTTCATGGTATTCAGCTCCAATAAATGGTTTGTAAAAAAGAGACACAGGATAAATGTTTGATATCATTATTTAATCACATTGGAATCGAAAAGAATCGGAATTGATAAAATTCAAACGATACCCAACCCTATCCAGGGCTGTCGTTCCATCATGGCAATGGGCGTTTCGTTGTACGCGGTAGACCAATCACTGCGCCATCTGACCAATCACAGCAGTGAGGGTTCACGGAAAGGAGGGGTTTAGAGAGACTGATTCTTTGAACTGCTTCGCACGAGTCGTTTACGAATCATTTAGAATTTAGGTAAAATTAAATCTATTTTTTGAGAAAACGAACGTGTTTTTTGACCTTGCATGCATGTAAACCTGTTTTAGGAGACTCATAAAACAATATTAGCAACCTTAAAAATGGCATAATAGGGGCACTTTAAATGTGAACACACATCCAAAGCAGCTAATTAATGAAAGGAATCTCACTGTTTAATGAGCAGTAACAGCTTCACCGTTTCCACTGCCACATCAGAGTCTTTATCCAGAATCATGCACAGAATCCGTTCCTGAGCAGAGAAACACATGTAAACCACTAAACACCAGCAGCTGAAATGTAAATGTAGAATATACCCCAAAAACGATGAATTAACACAATTATATACCACTTCTCATTCAGGGTTTGAAAACAAGGATGAGCCACTGGCCTGGAGTCAGTATGAGAGCGCTTCACTGATGCGAAACCACTGAAAATCTGACACGGTTTGGTCTCGTACGTCCATTTTTATGCCTTGTGAGTGTAAATGTTTAGTTTTCTGTAATGTATTCTACAAAGCAAAATCTGCTTTTTTTTTTTCAAGATTAACGTTAAGCAGCTGCTAGATGAGGCTGTCAAACTACATGAATTATGATAGTTTGGGAAGAATCAGTAAGAATGCAACTTCAAACAGTGAAGTTTTACATTTACATCATTTTCCAGCTTCCAAAATGACTTTATGGAGCTACATCATAGTGAATCATTTTTACCTTCACTGAAAGACTTTTGTACAAAGAAAACAAATATGGCTGGAAAATGCCTTCAGACCTCCTGAAACAATGATATTACAACAATATTTAGCTGCTGATTCAATATGTATTGCATTTACCATTTATTTAATTATTTTAAGTTGATCTTCCGTTAACTTTGCTGCAGCATCTTCAAACATGAGCTCATATGTCAGATGTGTGACACACGTGATGCGGCTCTCATGTATGTACAGCATTAATTACTGCAGTAACTAGTACAGTGCATTCACACATGTGCACAGATCTCTACTGTATGTCATCAGTGTTGCACAGATTCAGTCTCTGTGTTCAAACCCGTCTGTGTGTTTGTGTTCACCTTAAAGCGGCTGGTGAAGAGCTCTAACCGGCTGATGAAATCCTTCTCCACATACAGTTTCTGCAAAGTCAACACACACTGCAGTCGCACGGCAGCTTGCTGAAACACACACACACACACACACACACACACACAGACACACACACAGACACACACACGCACACACACACACACACAAT